CCTCAGCCTTCCAAGTAGCCAGAACTACAGGCGCACACTACCATGCCTGGCTAATTTTTTATTTATTGTAGAGACAAGGTCTTGCCAAGTTTCCTGGGCTGATCTCGAACCCACGGGCTCAGCAATCCACTTGCCTCAGCCTCCCAATGTGCTGGGATTACAGGCTGAGCCACCGAGACTGACCGGGCATTAGTTTTCTAAGGTTTTGCTTATATATACTCCAAAAATTTTTTTGGAATATTATGATCACACTCATTTTTAAGTTGATATCTTAACTCTATCATAAGTTTAAATAATTTAGGCATATTATATATTATAGATTTGTTTTAAATATATGTTTATCAAAACTTTTAAGCTTTAGATTTAGCTTATTTTAATAATGGAAGGTGTCTGCTCTATAATTTAGTTAGCAAAACTAAGCCAGGCATGGTGGCTCATACTTGTAAGATCAGCACTTTAGGAGGTTGTGGCAAGAGGATCACTTGAGGCCAGGAGTTCAAGACCAGCCTGAGCAACATAGTGAGATCCTATCTCTACAAATAAAAATAAAAGTACCAGGGCATGGTAGCACATGCCTGTAGTTTCAGCTACTAAGGAGACTGAGGTGGTAGGATCACTTGAGCCCAGGATTTCGAGGCTACAGTGAGCCGTGATTATACCACTGTACTCTAGCCTGGATGCACAGCTAGACTCTGTCTCTAAAACAAAACTAGTCAACCAAATAAAACTAGTCTGTTGAATAAAACTTACTTTCTATTAGAAAATTATGACTATTCTGTTACATTGGCATATTTATTTGCCCTGCTCAATTCTGTTTTTATTACTGTAACTTTATAATGAGTATTGAAATCTGTCTGATAGGACTAATGCCTTCATTTTGTTCTTTTCAAGGAGTCTCCATCTGTGCTTAAGTCTTTGCATTATAAGTATAAATTTTATCATTCACCTTGTTCAATATTGTATAGCTTTTGTTGCTTTTATGAATGCTGTTTTTTTAACTAACATTTTCTAGTAGAGTGTAGCTGACATATACTAATGCTCTTGTTTTTTTTTTTTTTTAATTATAAAGATGTAGGGTACAATTCAGGGTTAGGTATACAAACATTGATTATGCAGGTACCCTTGTTGATGAAGTATGCCCCTCCCTCCCCTAGTGGTTTTCCTCATCTGCCAATCTACCCCCCTCCCCTGACAGTTCCTGCTACTGCCAATCCCTTTCTTATAGTATTATAATTGTTCGAGGTCTGCTTATGAGTGAGAACATATGGTACTCTGTTCTTTGTTTCTGTGATAGATCACTGAGTATAATTGACTCCAAATCCATCCAAGTTGCTGCAAAATCCATATGTTTGTCTTTCTTTATGGCTGCATAATATTCCATTGTGTATATGTACCACATTTTTTTATCCAGTCCAGCTTTGATGGGCAACATGGTTGGTTCCAAGTTTTTGCTATTGTGAATTAGAGTTGCAACAGACATACATGTGCAGGTATCTTTTTTGTAGAATGATTTGAGTTCCTCCAGGTATATTCCCAATAGGGGAATTGCTGAGTTATATGGAAGGTCAATTTCTAGTTCTTTTAGAAATTGCTACACTGTCTTCCAGAGAGTATGCACTAGTTTGCATTCCCACCAGCGGTGTAGAAGCATTCCTTTTTCTCCGCATCCTTGCCAGCATCTGTTGTTGGTTGTTTTATTAATGATGGCCATTCTTACTGAGGTTAGGTGGTATCTCAATGTGGTTTTGATTTACATTTCTCTGATGATGAGTGAGGCTGAGCACTTTTTCATGTGTCTGTTGGCTTCCCATATATCTTCTTTTGAGAAGTGTCTATTCATGTCTTTTGCCCACTTTTTAATGGGACTGTTTGTTTTTTTCCTTTTGGCGCATTTGAGTTCCTCGTAAATGCTAGATGTTAGGCCTTTTTCAGATATACAGTTGACAAATATTTTTTCCCATTCTGTGGGCTGTCTCCCTGCTCTCTTAATGGTTTCTTTTGCTTTTCAGAAGCTCATTAGTTTGATGAGGTCCCACTTGTCTATCTTTGTTCCATTGGTCTATGTGCCTGTTCTTGTACCAATACCAAGCTGTTATGATTACTGTAGCCTTATAGTAAAGTTTGAAGTCTGGAGGTGCAATACCTCCTACCTTGTTTCTTTTGCTAAGGATTGTTTTGGCTATTCATGGTCATTTATGTTTCCATATGAATTCCTGTATTGTCATTTACAGGTCTGAGAAGAATGATGCTGGTAACTTAATGGGTATTGCATTGAATCTGTAGATTGCCTTTGGTAGGATGGACATTTTAACAATGTTGATTCTTCCTATCCATGAGCATGGAATATTTTCCCATTTGTTTGTATCTTCTTGGATTTCTTTGAGCAGTGTTTTGTAGTTCTCATTGTAAAGGTCTTTCACTTCTCTGATTAGGAAGATGCCGAGCTATTTCATTTTTTGTGTGGCTATTGTGAATGGGATTATGTTTTTAATTTGGGTCGCTGCCTGCTTATTGTTGGTGGATAGGAATGCAGCTGTCTTTTGCACATTTATTTTGTACCCTGCGATTTTGCCAAAGTCCTTTATCAGTGCAAGCAGGTTTTTGACAGATTCTCTTGGGTTTTCAAGGTATAGGGTCATATCATCAGCAGAGAGGGATAACTTGACTTCTTCTTTTCTTCTTTGGATAACCCTGATTTCCTTCTCTTGTCTAATTGCCGTGCTAGGACTTCCAACACAATGTTGAACAAGAAGAGTGAGAGTGGACAGCTTTTTCTTTTTCCAGTTTTTAGGGGAAATGTTTCCAATCCATTTAGCAGCATGTTAGCTGTGGGTTTATCCTAGATAACATGATTTTTTGAGGTATGTTCCTTCTATACTTAGGTGTTTGAGGGTTTTTATCAAGAAAGGATGCTGGATTTTTATCAAAAACTTTTTCTGCATCTAATGAGATAATCATGTGGTTCTCGTTTTTACATCTGTTGATGTATTTAATGACATTTGTGGTCTTGCAAATGTTGAACCAACCCAGCATCCTGGGGATGAAGCCTACTTGGTCATTGTGGATGATTTTTGAGATGAGTTTTTGGATCCAATTTGCTAGAATCTTGTTGAGGATTTTTGCATCTGGATATTGGCCTGTAGTTTTTTTTGTTGTTGTTGGATCTTTACCCAGTTTGGGTATCAGTGTGATGTTAGCTTCATAAAATGATCTGGGGAGAATTCAGTCTTTTTCAATTGCCTGGAATACTTTCAATAGGATTGGTATCAGCTCCTCCTTGTATGTTTTGTAGAATTCTGCTGGAAAGCCATGTGGTCCGGGACTTTTTTTTTTTTTTTTTTTTTTT